GAAGACGAGTCAAAAAACTTATGTTTAATAGTTATGAAGCTGTTAGAATCGTTGCTCGACTTCGACCATCTCGCAAAGAAGGGTTGGGAAAAAGACGAGTTGAAAAACTTACGTTTAACAGCTATGAAGCTGTTAGAATCGTTGCTCGACTTCGACTAGCTCGCAAAGAAGGGTTGAGAAGAAGACGAGTTGAAAAACTTACGTTTAACAGCTATGAAGCTGTTAGAATCGTTGCTCGACTTCGATCAGCTCGCAAAGAAGGGTTGGGGAGAAGACGAGTCGAAAAACTTACGTTTAACAGTTATGAAGCTGTTAAAATCGTTGCTCGACTTCGACCAGCTCGCAAGAAGGGTTGGGGAGAAGATATACGGAAAATGACAGCAAGACAATTTGAAATACGATTAATACAAGCGACGAAGGAAAAAAAGTAATATTGATAAAAAGAAGTTCATTACATTCCGAGTCGCTCGGCTTTTACAGATCTTGAAAGTAGCCGAGGTGACAGATACCCTAATAACTATTTTTTTCAAAACAAGAGAAACAAGAACAAACATTCTCAAGACTCAGCATCGGATTTTTCCTCCTCACTACCACCATCAGCAACGACCGTCTCGGTCTTCTCACCCTCATTAGCAACAATGGTCCGTGTCTTCCCGACATCATCACCACTAGCCCCATCAGCCGGCTTTTCATTATCAACCTCGTCAACAATCTTTTCACCATCAGCATTAACAACCTCCTCCTGCTCCACCTCCTCGACTTCTCCTGCCCCGACCTGCTCATCACACTCCTCGACGTCGGAGGACCCCACGTGATCCGCTCTATTTGGCCCGACTAGTTCGGTCAGACCAACCAAAGGAGCGGGGGGAACCTCAAGACGACCACTCAACCCGGCCTTACAAATGGCCCTCGCCTCGAGACCCACCACGGGTGGTCCGCGGGAAAAGCCGTATCGCCCTTATAGTCGTCGGGAAAGGGAAGGGTCCTCTTAACCGCTTCACGGCCGAGCCTACCAGCGCACTCGGTCTTCTCCACGACCTTCTCCCATGCGTCGAAAGTGAAATTGAAGTACTGCAGCGTCGCGGGACAAAGCAAGTCGAGAAAAGAAGGAGAGATGCAGAAGAGCTTGATAGCCTCCTGACGGTAGTGCTCGAGGAACACAGAACCGACCGGAGACTTGAGGAAGGTCCTGCGCCCCTTGAGGACTCCGGCTTCCCTCTCGACCATATTGTTATCGTCAGCTTTCGCCAAGTCGGCGCGCAGCTGGTCGACCTTTGAAAGGGCAGCAGCTTTCTCGATCTTGAGTTTAGCGATCAGAGCATTGGCGGCTAAGAGGTCGTCATCTTTCTTCTCGAGCTCGAGGGGTTGATCCTCATACTTTTTCTTATAAGAACGGATGTTGAAGTCGAGCGAGCTGGTATCCTCGAGGAGAGAGGGCATTATGAACACCATGAACTGAAACATGAAAAATGCAGCATTAGGACCTAAGTAAAAAGTATCGATCGAGACCAAAGATAAAAAAAATTACCCGAGAAAAGCATAACAGGGCACGACTGGCACGGTCGTAAGGGTCACGGTCGGCACGCGCCTTGTCAGCAACAGAAATGATGGAGTCAAAATACTTAGCGATCTCATGGGGATGAGGATGATCCTAGAGACGAGAAGGCCTCTCGAGAGTGACGGTCTCGAGGTTGTCGGGAGGAGCTTGCTCGACGGCCTTACCCTTGTCTTTCTTCTGGCGCTTGAGCGACTCCGGGATAAGTGTGAAGTCGGCCTCGTCCTGAGCCCGAAAGCGGGACTGAAGCCTTCGATTGCTTTCCCGAAGACGAGAGCACAACCTTAGACTTTTTCGCAGCAGTCGTATCGGCTGCCGCCCCCTTGGCACCTGACCCCGAGCCACCATCGGGCTTTTTTGGAGGAGCAGGTCGACCAGCAGACTTACCATAGCCTTTGGCCTTCACATTCTCGAAACGAGCAAGAACAGAATTTGCATCCACAAATCGAAACTATCAGTAGAAATTGACATAAAAACTTAAAATGAAGAAAATATGAAAATCAGACTTACGAGGATCGTCGAGACGAGGAACATCCTCGTCGACAACAATGCCTACGTGGTTAAGAATGGATCTTTCTTTGATTAATGGACGGGCTTTGTAAGTGTGTTTATTGAGCTCAATCAACATCGATTCAAACTGGGCGCACCGTGGCCATTTATTTTGTTTAACCTTGGAGGTAATCCAAGCGTTGGGGTATGGATATTTACCGGAAGCAGGTCGAATAAAAACGAACTTCGATTTTTATTTAGTTACGTTTGAAGAAAGGTCGTCAAGGAAAGTGACGCCTGCGCGACGACCCAAGCAATGAGCATCTTTTATGAACCGATAGCCATAACAGTAAAAAAGGAACTCTGGAGAAAAATATTGAAGTTTTATTCTGGAAACAACAATGAAAGCGATCATAATGCGAATCGCGTTAGGAGAAAATTGATTTATGGGACGTTGTATAAGTCACTAATAGCGCGCAGTTCGGGTTGAATTGGGAAGCGAAGATCGAACACCACTTGGTCGATAAAAAAGGTGTAAAAGTCGGGGGGAGGATTAGCGAAGTCGTCATTGGGGCTGGGAACGATCAACTCCCAGTCGGAGGGAAGTCCGCTGAATACTTTAAAGCCCTCGACCTCAGCTGCAGAGGCATAACAAAAAGGATTTAAAACAGCTAGCTTAGCTAATGGACAGGCTATAGATACAACATTCTGAACCTCTAGAAGAGGTGCAATTATGGGTAAAGAAGAAGGACTTGTTCTATACACAGGAATATCTAAGACCCTAAGGGGAATACCTCGGGGAATGAGGTCGAGACGAGGAGACCCTCTAACTCGGGAAGTCTCTGGGTCTTCCATTAGAACACCCGACATCCACGCCTGATCATAAGCGTCTCGATCAATACCAAAGGAAGAAACGTTGGAAGCAGGAGAATTTTGTGATCGATCAGCTAATTTAAAGCCCATCACTTGTACTGAGTCGGATGATTGAGCACCTTCGTCGATAAAGCATTCAATAGTGTCAGGGGAAGAGTCTGAGTCGGAATCTAGAAGAACGAAAAAGAAAAGAAAGACAGGATCAGTTGAGGTGAATTCAGTAAGAAGCGAAATCTAAAACAGCCAACAGGGGGCAATCCGAATTGTGGAAGTCGTCACAAGTCGAGTCAAAGAAACAGAAAGGTAACCGTGGAAAAACGGATCTGAAACAAATAGAGCCACAGGAATGCTCAACTCGACCTAATGACAAGAACGAAAAGATACGGTGCATGTCGATACGTATCAAACCTAAATCGACCTAAGTTATGAGAATCGATTCTCATACCGAAAGTCGGCGGGCGATAAAGCAGGGGCAAACAAGAATCCAAAGGAATTTCAAGTGAAGGAGATCTAACACGAAGATTCGCACAAAAAGATATGAAGAACACGAAGATCACCCAAGGGTTTTCAAGCTCAGAAAAACCCAAAAAAAGATTCAGGAAATCGTGAAAAATAAAGAGTAAAAAGCAAAAGATGTTGAGAAAGCACTGCACTTACACATGATTGCGGCGAAGAAAGTCTTGAAGAAACTGGTGGTTGCCGGAGAGCTGATTGCCGAAGAAGCTCGGAAACGCCTTAATTGCCGGAGAAATTCGAGAACTCAGAGAGAACATGAGAAGTGAAAAGTGATTTGGAGCCAAGGTAAAGGTTATTTATACAGAATAAAGGTGAATCTTGACCCTTAGATTGAACAAAGATCTAACGGTCTGGGTGAGGTATGAAATTCGAGGCGGCGGCGCATTAGGTCCAGATTTGAAATTCGAAATTTGAAAAGACATCCTTATGTTAGAACTTATCCAAAAAACAATCATGAGGTCTTACAACAGTCTCGTGAGATGGCGAGACGAGTTACGAGCAACGGAGTAAAGGAGGAGTCGCGATCCAAATCAGATAAGTGTAGCAAGGATGAATCGAGCGATGACGCCAAGAAAAATCTTGATGTCGGGAAGAGAGTGACGAGCAAAGCTAATAGAAGCAGTCGATCACCAAACTTACTCTTAAGCTCTAGTCCGCTTAGAGTAATTTTTGGGAGGGGACTAGATGATATAGCCATATTATCATATATCGGCTCTAAAACTCTCTACTCGACCAGATAACAACTCAGACCGTCCACATGACGATATGTTCCCATCAACATACTCAAATCGACTTCCGCAAAGTCGACCCTTCGTAGAATGACCGCAAAGAGAAGGCGGAAACCATGCCAGTCGACTCTCAGAGGTCGACCTCAGTCTATCGACTTACAATAGTCAACATCTATCTAAGAAGAACAGCAAGAGCGTAGCCTCCAAGCATTCAGATAGCCCTAAGTCAACTCCCATAAGTCGACTTCACTAAGTCGATTCTCTGAAGTCGACTTCCATCATATTGAACTAACCAAGCGTAGCCTCCGAATCCTCATACGATCATGACTCGAGGTCGACTCTTTATACCTCGAAGACCAAAGACGTGATGGCGACTCATCACACTTGCAGCATACTTAAGGCTCTACATGCTTCAAGGGATAAAGGGGAATCTTGTGATGACTCAGCAGCAAGAGGAGACGAACCGACCGGGGCATTTTGGACCCTTTACGTAAGTCGGCCGGGGAATTTCGGGTACTTCAAGTAAGTATCCCCTGCTATATAAAGGAGATGAGGTAACCCTAAACCCCAACTCTCATTCATTCTCCACTCTCCCTCATAGCTGCTACGCAGCCTCTCTTCATCACTCTCACACTGACTTGAGCGTCGGAGGCTCTACGTCGGAAACACCTTCGGCGTTGAGTTTTTGCAGGTATTCTCGCGGTCTAGCAACGGTTCGAAGGCGATTCAAACAGATCTGAGCTCCTTACCACCGGTTCACTCCAGATCTGAGAGTAGACCCATCATCTGGCCTCTCCTCTGGCGGGACTCTGTAGTCGTGCGGCTTCGTCCCTCACCACGAATGGCTGTGTTTCGACGAATGGTTGTCGAATTCCCGGTTCGAGGGGTCTCCTTCTTCGGTGGGCGGCCGAGCGGACTTCAAGTTTATCTGGCTCCTTTCGACGGAGGTGCGGTTGCCAGCGGTGAAGGCTGCTCGTGTGGCTATTGGGACGGAGTGGCGGCTCTCCTCCTCTGGGTGGGTCCGAAGCCTGGGGCCGGTTTCAGCACCGTTTGCAAGCTTTTCGGTGAGTCGCTGGTTTCCACCACCTGGATTTTCTCTGTTACCGATGGCCATGGCGGCAAGGGCCCAGTGGTTTGTCGTGTTGTTTATCGGTGGCAGATCTTGACGGCCGGCTGAGGCGGGTGGTTGGTGTTTGGTCGAGTTCCTTGGTTGTCCCCGACTCCTGTTTTACCATGATATTGGTTGCGTAGGAGCCCCGACGGGGGTGGCTCTAACTTTGGTTGGTTAGAGACTGCCGCCGGTTAGGCGGGAGAGTGCTGGGGTGAGGGTCCGCTGGCGCTGGTCTTGGTCCTGGGGCAGTCTGTTGGGTGGTTTTCAGGCCTCTTGGTCCGATTCTAGTTAGCCGTGTAGGGAGTTTCTAGTTCCATGTTTGGGTCGGGGGTTTGGTCTTCCTGTCTCGTTGCCTTAGGCTTTGGTTCGCTTGGAAGGTCTTGAGATGGATTCTGGACGGGTGGAGTGAGCATTAGTTTTGTAGTCATTTTGTTTGTTTTTTTCTTGTTTTGTTGTGTGTTGTCTAGTTTGGTCTGTTTGTGCCTGTGTTTTTTTTCCCTGTTTGGGAGTTGTTTGTATTCTCCGGAGTTGTTTCATTCTCCTGTTGGGAGCTTTTATTGTGTTTAGGTTTGTTCTAGGCTGGCTCGGGTTATCTGCCTATGGGCTAGTCATTCCAACTAGATTCAGCTGAGTAGCTGACCTTTTCGACTGTTTAGTTGTTCTCTAGTCTGTAATTATGTATTTTTCTTCTATTGCAAGCTTATCATTTCGAAAAAAAAAAGAAAGGGGTTCGATGCAATTTTATCATCATCATTATTATTGTTTGAAAAAAAAAAAATATGAGAATGCAGTCTATACCAATTTATAAGAGCAACTTTAACGGGTAAAATCTATGAGGTTTATAAACCTGAGTTTGGTAGCGTTACGGTTAAAGAGGAGAAATAGGAGCGTGGGGTTTGTAAAGCGGGAGTGCAAATGCAAAGCTGGTGTTGTGGTGTAAATATAGGCCCCAAACATTTGATAAATGAATATAATATGAAAATTTGTAGAATGTGGACCTCAAATATAATGGATGCAATCCGTACATGTTTTTTTTTATTCTTTCATTTAGTTGTAATTGTTATTATTTTATTTAGTTATATTTTTTCCACATTTAGTTTAATTTTTATTATATAATCTATTTTTTTTACATTTTATGTGTAATAAATTTCTCTTTTTAATTTAATTGTACGTATTTATTATGATATATAATAAATATGTAGAATTAATTATTTTTCTTGTCGAATTTTACTCATATTTATTATTATTAAAAAGAGTAATTAACAAAAACTATGATAATATTTAATTTAAATTATACAATGTAGTTTTATACGTAAATTATGAGTAGTTTTTTATTAAATATGAATTAAATTGATAAATAAATTAAAGTAAGTGGAAAACATGTGGGTCCATTAAAAGAAGGTTTGTGAGATTTATGGTTATTGGAGATTTGTGATATTGAGAGTAAGAATAAGGTTTAGATGATGTGTAGTATTGAAAATGTAAAAAGTATGGTTTATAAACCATACCCATTAGAATGCTCTTAATAAGTTTTAAAAAAACCCACACCGACAACGCCGTCGTACTCTCGTCTCCTACTTCAGAGTCCCAGATCTCTCTCTTTCACACCTACACACATTCATTTGTATCAATCTATCTATCTATATATCTATAATTACATATCCACCAGGTATCCAATTGGATGCGGGGGATCTTAGCCAATACCATTTTCTGGAAGAGCATTATTGATCGGATTCGTGTTTTCTGAGCAATACGGTGATTAAAGGTTCCTGCTGCGGTGATCGTTTATGGCGGTGGCGGTCCGCGGTCGGGTCGGATCGGGTGGCGGATCCGTATTCCGGAGCTTCTTCAGCTACCGGATCTTTGTATCAGCCATGTTCACGCTCTTATTCCTTGCTACTCTATCTGTCCTGCTCTCGTCTCACCCCTCCCACTATAAATCCGTAAGAATTAGCCTCTTTATTATTATTATTTTAAGAAAGCAATTGTGGTTCAGTGATCTTTTTTGTGCAGGAGAATGGCATTTATTCATTTCGCTCATTCTAATATTATACCGTGCTTGCATTTTGGGATTACTTTCCTAACTGTGCGCTTCAGGTTTTGTGCCTGTGTGGAAATCAGACCCTGGACAATTTTTTGAACAAGAGAACAACAGATTATGCGCTTGAGGATTTTTTTTGCATTTATTACTTAACAATCTGCATTGACCTTAAGAAAGTTGATTGTTTTCCTGAAATTATGAACAGATTATGAACCATACAGGAAGTGCCCATGTAACTCCAAGTTTTCTAACATTGCACTCGGATCCTCTGAAGACTAGGTTAAATTTGATGCATAACCAGGCAAATAACCATATTGCCTTAGTTAATGCATATGGGGCGTACGCAAGGAAGCTCAAACTTGACATATCTAAGCAGCTTAAGATGTTTGATGATTTGGCTAAGAATTTTCTGGATCTTCAACTGAAGCAGACATATCGGACTGCATTGTTTGAATCCGATGGGCCGGTTGACGAAGATATTTTGAGGCAGTTTGAGAAGGAGGTGAAGGATAAAGTCAAAATTGCCCGGCTAATGATTGTAGACTCAAAGGAGTCGTATGACAATCAGTTAAAGATCCAGAAATTGAAAGACACAATCTTTGCTGTTAATGAGCTGCTTCTGAAGGCAAAGAAGAATGGGGCCTTTGCCAGCCTAATTGCTGCAAAATCAACTCCAAAGAGCTTGCATTGTCTTGCAATGCGTCTCATGGAAGAGAGAATCGCACATCCCAAGAAATATGAAGATGATGAGCCCAAGCCCGAGTTTGAAGACCCGACTTTGTACCATTATGCTTTGTTTTCAGACAATGTGATAGCAATATCTGTTGTGGTTAATTCTGTTGTGAAGAATGCGGACGAGCCATGGAAACATGTTTTCCATATCGTTACAGACAGGATGAACTTTGCTGCCACTAAGGTTTGGTTCAAAATGAGGCCAGTACAAGGTGGTGCCCATATTGAGATCAATGCAGTTGATAATTTCAAGTTCTTAACTTCCTCTTATGCACCTGTCCTCAGACAAATTGGATCTGCAAATTTGCAGAAATTTTACTTTGAGACAAGGGCGGAGAACACCACTAAAGATGTAAACAACATGAAATTTAGAAACCCCAAGTATTTATCGATGCTCAACCACCTTCGATTCTATCTACCTGAACTGTATCCAAAGCTCCACAAGATTCTATTTCTGGATGATGATGTTGTGGTTCAGAAAGATTTGACCGCCTTGTGGAAAATTGATATGGATGGGAAGGTTAATGGTGCTGTTAATACCTGCTTTGGCTCATTCCACCGCTATTCAGAATATTTGAACTTTTCTCATCCTCTCATCAAGGAGAAGTTCAACTCAAGGTCCTGTGCATGGGCTTTTGGCATGAACATATTTGATCTTGATGCTTGGCGGCGGGAAAGATGCACCGAGCAATATCATTATTGGCAGAATCTTGTAAGCTTTATGACCTTGAGCCATTTTGTCTGAAAGCCTTTGATGATAATTGTGTATTTCCATCATTCCTGTTGGAGCAAGTCCAAATTACATGAATCTTGATGTGTATTTATCCATATATGACGTGCACACACACACAAAACACCCTTATTTGTTGATACACACAAACATACCATAAAATTAGAGTGTAAAATAGCAGAAACCACACTCAACGTTTACAAAAAAATAAAAATAAAATATTCAGCTGTATTTCAGAATTTAATGGACTCCTTAAGTTAATGTAATAGCACCATAACCTGCAATTTTGAAATGGGATTTAGTACCTTGGATATTTATAGTTCTTTGAGTGTAGTTTTCTGTTATCATCGCTGAATTATATTTACTTACTGAAATTTTTTTATCATGAATTATCAGAATGAGGAGCGCACGTTGTGGAAACTTGGTACTTTACCTACTGGGCTCGTTACATTTTACTCTACAACTAAGTCACTGGACAAGTCATGGCATGTGCTTGGGCTGGGCCTCAATCCCAGCATTAGTTTGGAGGAAATTGATAAGGCTGCTGTTATCCATTTCAGTGGGGACATGAAACCTTGGCTGGATATTGCAATGAACCGTTACAAGCATCTCTGGACGAAATACGTCGATAATGAAATGGAATTTGTGCAGATGTGCAATTTTGGCATGTAAACACAAGGGACATTGCTATCCTCTCAAGTAGAGTGTGTTGAAAGCCTTTTTCGTCGTTGCAAGTCGTGACTTTCAGAACAAAGGTTCTGGGTGTAACTTTTCTCCCTACGATTTTTGGAATAGTTAACGTACTTCCACTTTGTTCCTACGGAGTAACCTGAAGTTGGAAGTCGTGTTTTGTATACAGTTGAAACTTGAAACATATTCTTTGTAGGCATATTAGCCGGCATTAGAAAGGTCTTTCTGTCATTAAATTGAGACTGATTCTGATTTTAGGTTTATTACACCTTTGAGCCTTGAGTGAGCGAGTGAAATTAGTGAAATTTATGCAATTCAGCATTCTTCAACTGCATCTCTGTGCTTCCAATTTCAACGTCGTGTAATCGGTGTAGACATGGCCACGGGCCGAATCGGCCCGCGACCCGGACCGGGAACCGGCACCGAACCGGCCTGGACCGGCCCGTAACCGGCCCTATAAGGGCCGGTCCGTAGGACCGAACCGCAAGGGCCGCGGTTCGGTCCAGGTTCAAAAAAAAAAAAAATCGTCCCGGCGGTCCGGTCCGGTCCGGGTCGGGTCACGGGCCGACCGCCGTCTCTTCCGTTTAGTTTCGGTGATAGTGATTTATATGAACATTTTTGCTCAAATGGCTTTGAATTCGGCTGCCCACCGAGTTCCACATACTACTCTTACTCGTGATATTCGAAAAATAGTGGCGGAAAAAAAATTAATTTTGCAAGAAACTTTTAAATCTTTAAATCATAGAGTATCCATCTGTGCTGATATCTGGTCTGATCATTGTAAAATAACTTCTATTTGGGAATTACTTGTCATTAGATAGATGAAAATTGGAGTTTACAAAAACGTTTAATTGCTTATGTTGCATTTCATGAACGACACACTGCTTCTAATATATCCGAAAAAAAAATACCACATCTCCCCATTTATTTTTTTTTCATCATATTATATATAATTTTCCCCAATTTATTTTTTACTCTTTAAATTATAAAATGTCGAGCTCTCGTGGTGGGCGTGGTTCGAATTTCGGACAGAAACGTAGAAATATCGGCAGCGGACCATCTTCGTCGAGACCTCCATTGCCGGAATTTGCGAGTCCATCGATATATGTGGATATTCCCGTGTCGCCGATGACATTTATGAGGCGACGATCGAGCGCGTGTTTGGCTCAATTCAGCCTGAGCAACAAGAGCAACAGCAGCCGTATCACGACCATTTCGATGATATATTTGGAGAGTCCCCGCCGGAGGTTCAGCAACCGACGCAACAGCAACAGCCGGACCCGGAGGTCCCGGACCTGGGCTACCCGGCCTCTGCCTTCGCCCGTGCCAGACCGGCATCTGCCATATTCAAACAACATTATACGAAGGTGGCCAATCCGCAAAGAGGTGAGAATCACTTTTTAGCTGTTTGCAACTACTGCCCGGCGAATGACAAGAAGCAGCACCATTTCAAAAAAGGCGACGGGTACGGATCGTTGAAACAACACTTAGAGAGGGCTCATCCGACAAAATTAGGAATTGACAGGGCACAGACGCAACTCCCGAGTAGTAGCGCTGCATCTGCCACGATTGGTACAGGTACGCCATCTTTATTTCAGTACTCACATGAAAATCATCGACGCCATTTAGCTGAATTTGTTTCTGCTTCATCTCTTCCGTTTAGCTTTGGTGATAGTGATTTATGAACATTTTGCTCAAATGGCTTTGAATCCGGCTGCCCACCGGGTTCCACGTACTACTCTTACTCGCGATATTCGAAAATTAGTGGCGGAAAAAAAAGTAATTTTGCAAGAAACTTCTAAATCTTTAAATCATAGAGTATCCATTTGTGCTGATATCTGGTCTGATCATTGGCAAAATAATTTCTATTTGGGAATTACTTGTCATTGGATAGATGAAAATTGGAGTTTACAAAAACGTTTAATTGCTTATGTTGCATTTCATGAACGACACACTGCTTCTAATATTGCTCGTTTAATTTCAAATATTTTGGATAAATATCAAATAGGTAAAAAAGTGTTTTCCATTTCGTTTGATAATGCTACTGCAAATACTGCATCTATACGTGAACGTACCGATATTTGCACTCCAATTTGCGGCGGAAGATTTTTTCATATTCGTTGTATATGTCATGTCTTAAATAGCTGTGTACAAGCTGGTTATCATGCTTTTAAAGATTCGATCACGCCAATTAGGGACGCTGTTAATTATTTACATAAACGTCCCCATGAAATGAAAGCATGGGGACGTTTTTGTAAAGATCAAGGGGTGAAACCTAAAAAATTTCAACCCGACGTTCCTAACCGGTGGAACTCAACATTTAAAATGTTGAGTGACACGGTTCCGTTTATGACACAATTGCAGAATTTTTTTAACCATTCAAACCGTAAGGACTGTGATGTCCAAGTGTCAACAAGAGATTGGGAGAACTGTGATGCACTTATTCAATTTTTAGAAACATTTCAAAATGCTACTAATATGCTTTCAGGTGTTTATTATCCTACTGCTCAGCTTGTGTTAAGTCAAGCTATAGCCATAATGTGGGCTTTCAAGGATCTTTACAACTTGAATTTTAATAAATATGGCTATTTAGTTGAGAAAATGTTAAAGAAATGGTTAAAATATTATTATTTCATTCCTGATACACATTTAGTTGCATGTTTGTTAGATCCTTCGGTACGTGAAGCTCGCTTGGTAGAGCAGCTTAACATGTCTTATAATTATATGTATGAACTCCCAATCCCGACTGATGTCCCAACATACAGTCAAAAACCTAACGTACTGCTGCTCGTCGAGCAAGCAAAAAATTTATTGTATGATATGTTTAGGGAAACAGCGATTGCACAAGGTGAACCTCCCAGCACACTTGTTCGTGGCGGCGGGGGCAGCAGCAGCGGGTCTTCTTCTTACGATGGTAGTCAAGTAGGCGCTTTGAACTTTCAGGAGTGGTGGGCATCATTAAATCCCTACAAGAATGTTGGCGTTGAAAGGGCAAAGGGAACTGGATACTATGAGCTTGATCACTACCTAACGTCGAATTTGATACTTACGATTGCTCGTGAACCATGTCAGCCACTAAATTTCGATGTCTTGGACTGGTGGTCGAGAATGCAAGGCATATATCCTATTCCTTACTTGATGGCCAAAGAGATTCTCGTCGTCCCAGCATCTACAGTTGCGGTCGAACAAGCCTTCAGCGAGGGAGGTTATATGCTCAACGCACGACAATCGAGGCTTACGCCTGAAAATCTACAAGCACAAATGCTGTTGATGGATTGGAAAAAGGCCGAACGAAGGATGCAAACGGCTATGTACGTAGATGAAGAAGCAGACGACGACGATGACGCATCCGATTTTACGAGTACGACGAGTGGTGGAACCGGAATAGGAGATGACGAGTATGACTATTACAGACAACCATTCGTGTACAGGTAAGAAAATCGAAAGAACTACGTGAACTTTGATTCCCAATATAAGGGATACGTAGGCAACTTAATTGACATTTATAAGTTAAAATATCATTTTTTTTCCAAAACAAAAAAAAGTTCAAGTTATATGATATTTTAACTTAATAAATGTCAATTAAGCTCAAGTCCAATTTTTTTTTTTTTTTTTAAATCAACTTTAAAATATCTAAACGTAACAAGAATTAATTTGCTTCTAGAAAACATTGTTCAGAAATTCAGGCAATAATATCAATTATTCCAATAATGCCCCGCCCACAATCTCCATTGTTGTATTGTAGACGACTAGACGTATTAGAGAGTGCGACGCAAGTTCCACAACGGAGATTGTGTGTGTGGCATTATTGGCGTAATTGATGTTATTGCTTTGATCATTATTTGGTCCATTTTTGGAATTTCTTGAGCTGTAAGTAAATTAATAAAAAATACTTGGACTTTTTGACACATTACTAATACGTAGGCACCTTAATCCTAAAGTTAAAATATCAATTAAAATAAGTTAAATTACATCAGTAGAAGGATGTTCTATAACGGAGACAATCGCAGTTGGCGTCGTTTACGAGGTTCTTAACGTTTAACAATCTTCCAACATAGCAAGAAAGCTGCAGTCTTTTTCACACACCACTGAAAATATTATTGATACAATAATCTAATAGTTTTAGTGTGTGTGGAAAAAACTGTAGCTTTCTTGTAGTGTTGGATGATTGTTGAACATTTAAGAACCCCGTAACCGATGCCAACGGCAATTGTTTCCGTTATAAAACATCTTTCACAAATTTAAACAATAACATCAATTACATCGATTATGCCACGTCCACATTCTCCCATTGTGGATCATGCTTCTCACTCTCGCATACGTCTACAATATAGCAGTTAGAGTTCCATGACACAGGCCGACATACAAATTCTTCAATACTTGAAGTTTGTTAAAGTTTGTTTGTGTATACTATCTCTATATTGTTGTATTGTAGGCGTATGAGAGAGTCAGAAGCAGCATCCACAATGAGAGAATGTGTGCGTGGCATAATCGGTTTAATTGATGTTATTGCTTTCAACTCTAATTGGTAAACTTTTCGAATTTCTTAAAACTGAAATCCACAATGAATCACGACCTTAAAAAACGAATGTCTAATATTGAAACTTAAAAGAACTACGTGGACTTTGATTCCCAATATAAGGGGTACGTAGGCACCTTAATTGACATATGATATACTATACTTATTAAATTTCAATTAAGCTCAAGTCCTTTTTTTTTTATCAACTTTAAAAATATTGGATTATTGTATCAGATTAAAGTGAAGTGTTGTTGACCGAATGTAAGCTTACCGGTATATTGTTCTGCATTTACATCACTTTAAATTGAGTTCATCGTCCCCGAGAATGACTAAGTGCGTGTCATATTACTCTACTTTATGCTATAGCAAGTTTATTAGAGAGTTGAAAACATAATATATATTATATAAAGAAGACCGTGGGCGTGGCATCATTGGTGTCATTTGATGTTTGTTTGTTAATTTGGATACGGGATACCAACACGGCGCACCATACCAGCACGATTCAGCTCTCGGCATCTTCGCCATTGATTTTCCACTCCACCAGATTGTAGAAGTTCAACATCAAATAAAAACAATAACATCAATGACATCAATGATCCCTCGCTCACAGTCCTCTTTATATATTATGTTTTCAACTCTCTAATACACATGCTAGAAGGGTAAATTAGATAAATTTGACACAAACCTGGCCACTGTCAAAATTCTTACTGAATTTTCCAAGAAATGATTGCAAAACAATATACCGATAAGCTCGCATTCGAGTCATCCACATTTCACGTTAGTTTGATAAAGTACTCCAATAGTTCTAGTG